ACCATCAAGATCGCCTGCCATATCTGAATCAATATAACCTTCTAAGATTGGTTTAGCTCCTCCAAAGCACAAACACATTTTAGATGTACCCTTAAGGTACCTTAGAATCCACTTGACTGCTTCCCAATGCTCTTTCCTTAGATTGGAAAGAAATCTGCTTACTACTCTAACAGCATGAGCAATATTTGGTCGGATGGACACCATTGCATACATTAAACTCCCTACTGCAGATGAGTAGGGAATTGCCTCTATTTCTTCTCTTTCATTTGTAAATGAGGGACAAGAACTCTTGCTCAGCTTAAAATGGTTAGCCAGGGGAGTATTAACTGGCTTGGCATCTTTCATGTTGACCTTTCAATTTACCATTCAACATATTTTTCCTATGACAGCATCTTTTTGGCTTTCCTGCCACGAACAATCTTCATGCCCAAAATCTATTGTGTTGGGCCTAAATTCTTCATGTCAAAATATCACGACAAGTCCTTTTTCAACTTGTTGATCATAGCAGTATCCTGTCCGATGATCAGCATATCATCGACATATAACAGTAAGATGCTAAGGTTTCCATCAGAAAACTTTCGAAAATATACACACTGGTCTGCTACCGTTCTTGTGTACTTGTGATCCACCATGAATGAATCAAACTTCTTGTACCATTGTCTCGGCGTCTGCTTCAGGCCATAGAGACTCTTTTTCAGTTTGCAGACTAGATTTTCTTTTCCTTTAACTTCAAATCCTTCTGGCTGCTCCATATAGATCTCTTCCTCCAAGCCACCATGGAGAAAGGCAGTCTTGACATCCATTTATTCTACCTCCAAATTCAAGCGAGCTGCTAATCCCAAAGCTACTCGATTGGAAGTCATCTTCACAACTGGAGAGAAGATCTCATCAAAATTAATTCTCTTATTCTATCTAAAACCTTTGACCACAAAACGAGTTTTATGCTGCAGTAGTTTACCGTTGCCATATTTCTTCAACTTATACACCCATTTGTTCTTCAAGGCGTTTCTGCCCTTTGGAAGTGAAACAAGCTCATAAGTGTGGTTCTTCTACAAAGAACTCATCTCCTCTTTCATGACTTGTATCTAGCAATCTTTCTCTGTATGACTCTTTGCTTCCAAAAAACTCTCAGGCGGCAGTAATCAAAATATACTAAGAAGCGGGATATTTGGTTGATGACACGGTAGCTCTTCCAGATCTCCGCAACTGAGGCCCAGTTGCCTTTGGTTGAGGGGGTTGTTCTCCCTGCTCAACACCCTTTTTATCCGGGTCTTCATCTCTTTCCTCCCAATCCTTAATTTCTGGAATAAGATCCTGTAACTCTGGCACTTCTTGTTGCACATCATCACATCTAGCATTTTGTGATGGCCCGGGAAATAGGAATAAGTCTAGAGTGGTGACATCTCTAGACTTTGCAGATTTCTGAAAATTTGCTATAGTTTGGTCTTCATGGAACACAACATTTCTACTCCTAAACATCTTCCTGTTCACTGGGTCCCACAACTTCTACCCAAATGCTACATTTGAGTAGCCCACAAATATGCATGGAGTGGACTTGTCATCAAGCTTCTGTTTGTTTTCCTTGGAGATGTGTGCAAATGTCTTACACCTGAAGACTCTCAAATGAGAATATGATATCTTTCTTTTGGACTAGACTTCATCAAGTATCGCAAACTTCAACTGGACTGAAGGCGATCTGTTAATGAGATAACAGGCTATACGAGCGGCTTCAGCCTAGAATGACTTTGGTAACTTTGCCATTCTGAGCATACATTTGACTCTTTTAATAATAGTGTGGTTCATCCTCTTTGCCACACCATTGTATTGTGGGGTACTAGGAACTGTTGTCTCATGCCGAATACCTCAGTTGGCACAATATGCTTCAAAAGCATTAGAAGCATACTCGCCATCATTGTTTGTGCGAAGACACTTCAACTTCTTCCTGGTCTCTCTTTCCACCATTGTATGGAACTCCTAAAAGTGCTGGAATACCCCATCCTTCATCTTCAGGAAATACACCCACAACTTCTTTGATGCATCATCAATGAAGGTCAGAAAATACTTACGGCCTCCACTTCGATTGGGCCATAAACATTCGAGTATACCATACTAAGCACTTCTGTTTTCCTCTTACTCGTTGAACTGAATGATACTCGATACTGCTTGCCATAAAGGCAATGATCACACGGCTTTAGAGCTCTTCCTTTGAATAAGGGTATCCCGGATTGCTTTGCCAACAGATGTAATCCATTCTCACTCATATGAGCCAGTTTTCTGTGCCATAAGTATGGTGGCTCATTGTTTTCTGCTGCATTAAGACTTCCCAGACAGATCTTCGTTTGAGTCTTGTATAGTATTGAAGACATCACTCCTCTGGCGATTGTCAAAGCTCCTCTTGTCAGCTTCCAACGGCCATTTCCGAATGTACTTGTATAGCCCTGTCGATCTAGGGCGCTTCCAGAGATAAGATTGATGCGCAAATCTGGAACATGCCTCACATCTTTGAGAACTAGCTTATGTCCGACATTAGTTTGAATACTAATGTCTCCAATGCCCACAATCTTTGAATAGCTAGAATTTCCCATTCGAATAGTGCCAAAATCTCCAATGTTGTACGAGCTGAAGAGTTCTTTGTGGGAAGTGGCGTGATAGGATGCAGCAATGTCTATCTCCCACTCTGTACAGCTGTGGTCAGCCACGTGAAGGCAATCCTCCTCTTCACCAACTGCAAGAAGTATTTCATCAGTTATTGTGGCTATCGTGTTCTCATCTCCCTTTAACTTACTGCTTTGGCCTTTATCTTTCCGGCTTGGACAGTTCCTCTTTATGTGACCCTCCTGGCCACAGTGAAAGTAAGTAAAGCTAGAGTTACCTTGACTTTTACTGTCTCTGGATTTACTCATGTTGTTCCATCTGCCTCTATTCTTGCTTTTTCCATTGCCTCTTTCTTTATCTCTGTCACTGCCTCTATCTTTTGTGATAAGAGCATGGGACTGATTACCCCCCATGTATTTCGTCCTTATCTCTTCAATGTACATGGCATCTGTGACCATGCTCATGGTCAGCTTCCCTTCTAGTGCAGAGTTGCTGAAAGAAACCACCAACGTCTCCCAACTATCTGGTAAAGAACTGAGTAGTAGTACGACTTGCATTTCATCATCCAAGGGCATCTTGACGATTGCAAGTTTGATTCACTAGATTCTTGAATTTACTAATGTGCTCTGCGACAGACACACCATTCTTCAACTTCAGATTTACGAGTCTCTCATCACCAAGGCTTCGTTCCGGGCGGTCTTTGACTGGTACATTCCCTCTAACATTGTCTAGAGGACATATGCATTTGTCTCCTAGGCGGCATGGTGGAACACATTGTGGTCTATCCATTGTCTGATATAACCGACAATCTTCCAGTTCATTTTTATCCAGTCTTCATCCTTTACTTCTTCTGGTTTACCTCCTTTTAGAGCAATAGGGTCAAACGGTCTTTATAATATAGGATATCTTCCATCTACGGCTTCTAAATTATATAATTGGAAGGATTCAACTTGATCATGGATCTTGAAGTTGATGCGAATTCCTCCATTGTCTTTTTTACTTTTTGTAAAAACTCTGATTTAAAAATCTGACCATACGGATCGCTCCAGAATACTCTAAATAATTGGAATCAGCTATTGGATTGTCAAAAAAGGACCTCAAATGGCTCAGATCTAGCCAAAATATGTTTAACGGTTCAGATCTGCGGATGTACTATAGCCGCGAAACACCAGATAACTCCTTTGCCTCTGGGTCGGGTCGGGTCAACCCGGTGGATAGATCGGCTAACCAGTGCTGACATGGCAAACATATGGCTCTGCCACATGGCACTGACCTGGTGATGACGTGGCAGACACGTAGCGATGACCTGTCGATGACGTGGCAGCGACGTGGCCTGACACAGTGTTGACTTGGTGGTGACGTGGTAGACACGTGGCAGCCAGGTGCTTCTGATGTGGTGCGGGCACGTGGCAGTGACGTTGGTATCACGCGTAGTTCACTCGCCTTCCTCCTTCAGCCGCGCGTTAGGCGCATGCCTGAGACTGGTGTGACACGCCAGTACTCTCAACGGCGCGTGGGTGAAACTAGGACTCATGCGTCTTTTTCAAGTGGTGCGTAAAGGCGCGTTGAGGCTCATCAGGGGCTCTACTTTACAGTTCTAGACTCCTTTCATCGAAAACTTCCTCCCGGTATGCTTAAAAGTGAATTTTGAGTAACTTAATTTCTGGGCAATTCTGAAAAACACACCCTGTTTTTTTCTGAAATTTGACTAACGAGGCTCTAATACCACTTGTTAGGTTTAGGCACATCCAGAAATCAATCACACACAGAAAAGAGATAAAATATTTACATGGTTCAACAATAGCCTACGTCCACGGGAGAGATATCCACTATAGAATTTTTCTAGAAGGAGTTTACAACACTTACATCTCACTTTCTCTCTATAGAACTCTCTCACTCACAGATTACACTCTCTACTCTATCTTTCACTTTTTGATGATCTATCTCAACTCACAGCTCTTCCCATTTTATACATAAATGGGAGAGCCTCTGTTTGCTAACCTTTAACAACCAACTATAAAAATAAATGGCAAGCTTACTACACAACCACCCTAGGTTTGAAAAACTTTCAGAAAATCTACATATATAGCCTCTATACTTGACTTTTATAGCCAAGTTCACATTGGTGTGGATACTCAACAAATTTCAAATCACTCGACAACACCAAAACTGATGACATCGATATCGATGACTCTAATTACGACGACACCAATGACGGCACCCCTCGATTCTTTTTGTTCTTCTTGCTCTCAAACAAGATAGACGGTCTTCCAAATCTTTTGGAAAAGCTAAATTCTGATTTTGGGTTGTTAGATTAGAGCCTCATTAACTTGTGGAAAGCGGAGCTCAACAAATTTTACATCCCGAAATTCAAATTCTCGTTCGATTTTGAGGTTTGCAAGGCCATGGAGGACATGGGAGTATCATTGAATGTTAAATCGGAAACAGTTATTTCAAACATTTGTCATAAAGCTTGTGTTGAGATAGATAAGGTAGGCACGGAGGCTGTAGCCATTACTGTCAGCACATCAAGGGGATGTTCACTGTATGAGCCAAAAAAAGTTAACTTTTTTGCGGATCATCCTTTCTTGTTCATGATCAAGGAAGAGGTTTCGGGGTTGGTTATTTTCACAGGTGCAGTATTCAATCTGGTAGAAACTTAGTTTTAGTTTGAGGGGAGGGAAAAAAAAGGAAGTTAAATTATCGTGTTTAGTTTAGGAATTTTGAGTTACAATAATGCAAATTATGTAATGGAAATTTTAGTTGGAAATAAGAAAAATTTATGATCTAGTCTTTTATACAAAGTAAAAAAAATATTGTTTTTGTTTTTTAGATGTGAATATTTTTAAGCATGCTATTGTTGGAAGAATGAGAAATTTTTATGATGATTTTGATGATACAGTAGCAGTATAAAGAGAATTGGATGAAATTTCAAAATATGGTCTCTTTTTGTCACTACCAACCTGCTAATTAACACAAATTCTCCATTATAGAACCTCATGCATGCCGCGATTCAAATACTAGAGAAGAAAGCATGTAATAGAGAAAGGAATTTCTTGTGCTCTTCATTATCACTCAACGCCACGCTAAACATGTTTGTTGGAGGAACAAAAGGCCGCACTCTAAAAAAGTATCTTGATTTTCTTGGATTGAAAAGCATAGAGGATGTCAATTCAGAATCCATGAAAATAATGAATGTGACTTGCCAAAGAGGACCATCTCAGAACATCATAGGGGGCCACGGAAGAGATCTGATTATCTCTTTTGTGAATGGGGCATGAGAATCAAAATGCTTTCCTCTAGCCCCTTCTTATCAAAAGCTTCTAAGCAGAGTTTACAATGTAGAATCCAAAGTTGTTGATTTCCAAAACAAGATATATATACATCTTACTCTCCTCTGTATTCTAACAAAGTTGTTGTCAATAAATGACTTATTGTAGAGAGCTCTTTTTTTAATTTGTTGACTAATTTTAGTTTACGATGTTTGTTCTTTGACTTTGAATAATGAAATATATCTACATAGGCTAATGAAGTGGTGAATGAAGTTAACTCATGGGCAAAGGTTGCATTAAGAGGGCTTATCAAAAAAATTCTTAACCTTAAGTCTCTATCTCCAGACACATCAATCATCCTTGCAAATGGACTCTACTTCAAAGGAACTTGGTCTATAGAATTTGATGCAAAATACACTAAAAACAGAGATTTCTATCTACTCAATGGAGATATAGTTTCAGTTCCGTTTATGACCAACCACCGTGACAAATATCTATACAAATCATTCGAAGGTTTCAAAGTCCTCAAAATCTCATATCCAAGTGGGAATGGGAGAGCAGCACTCAACACCCAATTTACTATGTACTTGTTTCTTCCAGACGCGTGAGATGGATTGCAAGATCTCCTAAAAGAGTTTGAGTCCAATCCTGGGTTCTTGCAGCAAGACTTGGGATCAAACTTGGATTTAGTGAAGCTTGATGAAATTTGGATTCCAAAATTCAAATTCTCATATGATTTTGATGTTTGTGATGCAATACATGATGTGGGACATTCATTGCCTTTCAGTGAAAATCCAACTGACTTTACAGAGATGATACATGTTCCTAAGGGCATCCCATTCTTTGTCTCGAACATGTTTCACAAAGCTTTTATTGAGGTCGATAAGAAAGGCACGGAGGCTACAATATTTAGTATGTGTAGTATGTTTTCTGGATGTGCGATGCGTCAAATAGAACATTCAAGTTTCATTGCTAATCATCCTTCTGTCTTCATAATCAAGGAAGAGATGTCAGGGTTGGTTTTTTTCACTGGAACAGTAGTGAATCCAATCTAAGATAATTGAATACTTAGATCTTCTAATAAGGGAAATTTTAACTTTTTGTCATATGTGTTTCATTATCTTTAGCTTGGAAATCTAAAGTTTTAGTGATATTAAAGTATATATGTCACGACCCAAACCCGCCCCTATAGGTTTAGTGTCGTAATCGGCCAGTAATCCTCGGATTACTAAAGGCCTCTTAACAGAATGGCACATGGTAAGGGGCTGCGGAAGCAATTATAGAAATATACATTGTCCATAGAGTTGTGATAACGTAAATGAGATTGAAATTTTTAAAATGGACTTATATACATATACGTGTGACGTCATAAATACATTAGTCTTACGTCACCCATGTGCACCGATGTAATAAAAAAGGAAATTTATCCCCATATATAGATAAACAATAACAAATAGCAAAACATCTTTGACAGGTGCACAAAACTTGACTTCTTCAAAAAAGGAACCTCCCCGAAAGGCACAGTGGTTGGCTGACTCAACACTCCAGGCAACAGCTTAAGCCTGGTCACGTGCTTGCTCACCTACATACATAAAATAAATAGTGAGCGAGAGCCCAATGAGTAATAACAGAGCAAAGGATTTAAATGAATGATGTCTGCAACAGATTCAGAAACCAAAATTCATATCAAAACAAACATATATTCGTATTCTTGTTCAAACTTCATATAGGAAACAGAGTTCTTGCTTAATCATACATGGTACATCCATTAGCGTCAGCATGCTTGTTAGTTCCATAAGGAACCTCCGGTACTGGGAACTTGTAACATGCTTGAGCCGCGGTATTGTTACCCCCGGGCAAGGGCGGTGAGACCGTGGTATTATTACCCTCGGGCAAGGGCCTTGCTTATAAGGCATGGTATTGTTACCCCCGGACAAGGGCCTTGTATTAAAGATGCCACGAATACATTTCAGAAACTTGGACAATCATTCATTGTACAAAATATAACATTACAAAAAACAGATCTTACTTCATATCATTCAGAAAATAATTAAAGTTAAACATAACTTTACTAAGTTATTACTCACAGATGGCTCCACTTGTAGAACAGACAATTCAGATAACTTGTGGCGTGTGACCTACACACATGTAGCAGAAACACATAATGAAACACACTCGGCTGGTACTCAATCTCTTTCGTTTCATTCTTAGTGTATTTCAAAATCTTAACCTCTTATTGAGTCGTAATCATGGCCTAGGAGTGCCTAGAATGCAATAAGGATGCTAAAATGCACTTGAGCACATTTAACAAAATTTGCAGAAAACAGAGGTCCCGCTCGAGCCAACTTCCCACGCTCGAGCGAACATGCAAACATGTGACTGTAAACTTTGCAAAAGTACTGGTTATGTGAAGTCTCCGATCGATGGCCGCTCGACTCTCACTTGAGCGTAAGACTCATTCCCTCGCTCGAGCGCAACTATTGCCGCTCGAGCAATTTGCTAAACATGCAAACTTCTAGAAGCATGCATTTTACGCTCAAGCAGACTTCAAGTTGCTCGAGTGGAAGTGTGAGATCACAGAATGGCTGCTCGAGCACAGATTCTGCCGCACGAGCGGAAATGCAGAATCTGGAATTTCCAGATTGCACTCCCAAGCTCCAAACTTGAATTCAAAGCCATTAAACTCAACCTTTGGGCCCCAAAACTCGAGAAAACAAGTCTAAACTTGGAAAACTTAAAGAATTGAAAATCATTTCATGAAATCAAGGCCCAAAAGCATGTCAATTGACCAAAACCCAGCTCAAAATATACAAAACATGTCATGTATGCAATGGTTTGACTCCAAAGCTTCCAAAACATGATCAAGTGATATAAATTGATGCAACATAAGATGAATTCTCAAAACACATGTAGGATGAGTACATGCAAGTTGAAATTGTTTGAGACCAACCTCCAAACTTCATGAATTACACATGCATGTGAAAATTCTTTGATTTCAAACTCAAGATGCTATGAAATACGCATGCATGTATGGAATGACTTAACTTTGTTCAATTCTAGCTCAATTCCCAAATGAATTCACCTCATTCACTTGTTTCTATGCATTAATCAACTACATTACAAAGTCAAATACTAGAATTCTTACCTACAGTCTCAATTGCACAAGTGTAGAAGTTCACCTCTCAATTCTCCAATTATTCCTAGCAATTCTCCTCTCTCCTAGCTTTGATCTCAACTTCTTCCTTCTCTTACTCTCTATCTCTCTCACGTTTTGTTTGTGTGAATAGGCTCAAAGATGTGTTAAAAAAAAAGAGTTAATGCACATACTAGCCTTATATAGGTTTGGTTAGAGAGTTTAATTAATTAAGCTTACCACTAATCAAATGGGTACAATTTATTCTAATTAATTTGTTCCGAATCGAATTTCAATTAAACCTACCATAAAATTCTAAAAATTCCAAATAACATATAAATCAAGTCAATTTCTGAATCGGATGGTGATAAAGCCTTCAATTCGCAAATCGAAACGGAAACATGAACAGGTCTTTCTACGTTAAACAGATATAAACACAAATAAGGCAACATATAATGCAAAATTTCACTTTAATTACTTATTAGGCATAATCAAGCATGGATTAACGTTAATCATGGGTCAGGATTGTTACAGTTTTCCTCCTTAAAGAGTTTGGTCCTCCAAACTCAAGTTACCTTCATTTTGAAAGAACACTGGATTCAAAGGAAACAAATCAGGGTATCTTCTCATCATATCTTTCTTTGTTTCCCAAGTTGCATAAGTCCCTCCATGGTTTTGCCAATCAACTTTTACCAACGGTATTTCCTTGCTCCTTAGCTTTTTAATTCAATGGTTTACAATCTGTATTGGCCTTTCTTCGTACGTGCAGTCATCCTTTAAAAGCACATGCGTCGGGTCGATAACATGATGCGGATCTCGTAATTAATCCCGTAACATTGAGACATGAAAGACATTATGTATATGCTCCATAACTGGTAGTAAGGCTACTTGATACGTCATCGGGTTGATTTTCTCTAGAACCTCATATGGCCCAACATATCTTGGTGCTAACTTGCCCTTAACACCAAACCGCATTTTGTCCTTTCATTGGAGTCACTTTGATAAACACGTGATCCCCGACTTCATACTTCTTGTCTCTTCTTCAAACATCCACATAACTCCTTTGGCGACTTTGTGCAGTTTTCAAGCGTTGTTGGATCAATTTCACATATTCCATTGTTTCTTGTACAAGTTTTGGTCCCAACAATGGTCTGTCACCTACTTCAGCCAACAGATAGGAGAATGGCATTTCCTTCCATACAGAGCTTCATAAGGAGCCATCCCAATACTTGAATGACAGCTGTTATTGTATACAAACTCGACTAAATGAAGGTAAGTCTCCCAATTCCCTTGGAAGTTCAATACACACATGCGTAGCATATCTTCCAAAGTCTGATTGGTTCTTTCGGATTAACTGTCTCTTTGTGAGTGGTAAGCACAACTCATCCGTAGTTCAGTTCCCAAAGCATGTTGCAAACTCAGCCAAAACCTTGACGTGAACTTCAAATCTTTGTCAAATGAAATAGATACTGGCACACCATGTAATCTCACAATCTCATTCACATAAATGTTAGCTAACTTATCTGCATTATAGAAAATTTTGACAGACAGAAAATGGGCAGACTTAGTTAAACGATCAACAATGACCCCTATAGAATCCATACCTCGAGGGGAACGAGGAAACCCCACAATGAAGTCTATAGTAATATGTTCCTACTTCCATTCTGGTATTAGAAGCGATTGTAGCAAACCAGCGGGTCATTGATGTTCGGCTTTAACTTGTTGGCATTGTGGACATCTTGCCACAAAATCTAAAATACACCTTTTCATCCTAGGCCACCAGAAATTTTGTTTCAAGTCATGATGCATCTATGTATTCCCCGGATACATGGCAAATTTGGAGTTGTGAGCTTCAGTCATGATGCGTTTCCTTAAATCAGAACAATCCGGCACACAAAGGCGATTTTGAAATTTCAACACATTGTTCTCAAGTACAAACCTGGGTCTTGGTTTTGAGTCAAACTCATTTACAATCCTTTTTAAGAATTCATCTTGCAGTTGTTTCTCTCTGATTTCTTCAATGATTGTAGGCTGGGTAGAGAAAGTAGCTAAAATTCCACCTTGTTTTCGCAATACAACTTTAATCTCATTCTTTTCTAAATCACATAGCAATTCTTTCTGACCAGTGAGAAAACATGACAAATTTCCCATTGACTTTCAGTTCAAGGCATCTACCACAATATTAGCTTTTCCCAGATGATACAAAATCTGTAAATCATAGCCTTTGATCAACTCTAACCATCTTCTCTGTCTCATGCTCAATTCTTTTTGGGTGAAGAAATATTTGAGGCTTTTATGGTCTGTGTACACTTCGCAAGTCACACCATACAGATAATGTTGCCAAATCTTCAAAGCAAAAACCACTGCAGTGAGTTCAAGGCCATAGGTCGGATAATTCCTTTCATGAGGACAGAATTGACGAGAGGCATAAGCAATCACTTTTTCATTTTTCATTAAGACACACCCCAAACCCTTGTAGGAAGCATCACTATAAATCTGAAACCCATCGGTTCCGTTGGGCAATGTCAGGATTGGTGCAGTTACCAGTCTAGTCTTCAGTTCTTGGAAAGCTAATTCTTTGATCGGTCTAATCAAAGGGTACATTTTTCTATGTCAATTGTGTCAATGGCATAGCAAGTTTTGAAAAGTCTTTCACAAATCAGCGATAATAACCTACAAGTCCCAGAAAACTTCTTACTTTTGACACATTAGTTGGTCTTAGCCATTCCACAATGGCTTCAACTTTTTGAGGGTCAACAGAGATACCGTTCTTGTCGATCACATGTCCCAAAAATGCCACACTATCAAGCCAAAATTCACATTTGGAAACTTTTGCATATAACTCTTTTCCCTTAGGGTCTGCAAAGCAATTCTCAGATGATTTTCATGTTCCTCCCTGCTTTTAGAATAAATCAATATATCATCGATGAACACAACTATAAACTCATCAAGGAATTGTTTGAACACTCTTTTCATTAAGTCCATGAATACTGCAGGTGCATTAGTCACCCCAAATGGCATGACTAAGAATTCATAATGTCCGTATTTAGTTCGGAAAGCGATTTTCTCAATGTCTTCTGCTTTCACCTTTAGCTGATGATATCTAGATCTAAGATCTATTTTAGAGAACATTTGTGCTCCTTGAAGTTGATCAAATAGGTCATCTATTCGGGATAGTGGGTATTTATTCTTCACAGTCACTTCGTTAAGTTCTCTATGGTCTATATGTAGTAGACCCATCTTTCTTCTTAACAAATAACACTGGAGCACCCCAAGGTGAAGTGCTCGGGCGAATAAACCTTTTGTCTAACAATTCTTGAAGTTGATTTTTCAATTTTTTCAATTCAGAAGTGGACATTCTGTATGGGGTTTTAGAAATTGGTTGTGTCCCGAGTACCACATCAATGGTGAACTCAATTTCCCTATCAATTAACTCCCCATGCAATTTATTCGGGAACACATCAGGAAATTCACAAATAACAGGAATGGTTTCCACATTAGCTCTATCAGAAGATACAGTCAATACACAATACAAGTAGCCCCGACGACCTTTCCTTAACAATTTCCTAGCTTTCATAATTGAGATCAAATATAGTGGAGGAATTACTTCAATTCCAATAAAAACAAACTCAGGCATACCAGGTGGTCTAAATACAACAGATTACTCACACAGTTGATGGTGGAACAGTATTTAGTCAACCAATTCATACCCATAATACAATCAAAATAATCAATGTTTAAGGGTAGTAAATCAACGTACAATGTCATATCACCAATCATAATATCACATGCCAGATAAACATAAGCACGTATCATAGAACCCCCAGATGATGTAGATACAGATAGTAAATAGTTCATAGGTTCTACCTGATTAGTTAATTTCTGAGAAAAAGCATGCAATACAAATGAATGCTTGGAACTAGAATTAATCAGTACATAGGCATTCTCAGCACAGATAGAGATTATACCTGACACCACTGACTCAGCATTCTGTACATCCCCAAAAACCCGGCCTTGTCTCAAAGTTTCTCCCCCAGTATTGGCCCTCACATTAGTTCTTGGTGCAGAAGCAGACCCAGCTTAATTTGAATTCTGTACAAACAATGCAATAACTCACAAGTAAATGGCATCGTTAACAATTCCAAGCAACTCCAATTAGTCTGTTCTAACAGCGAAGGCCTTCCCCATCTTTGAAGAGATGGTTTCCGAGACAAGCGCAGTAATCAAGTTGCCATTTTCAGACATGTAGAAGTAGTTGTAGTTAATTCTAGTGACCAAATCTGCCAAATGAGGGAAATGCCCTACATTGAGCTTGAAAGATAGGACCTGGACAGTCAAAACAATTTCAGAAAATTTTACATACCCATGTCCATATATTATGTAAATATGGAAGTGCACACGTCTGCTTTTAAATGTCTTTGTGCTTGGGCATGTACAAGTATTTTTGGCACAAGTGAGTCATGCACAAAGATAGAAGATTACTTTGAGAAGGAAGGCAGTCCAATCATCAAACTGTTTCTCTATCCAATCCACTTCCATTTCACATCTAGGCTTGATAGCAGAAACTGCTCCACCACTAATAAGTGTCTGTTGTATGGAATAGAAGTCTAGAGCTAATCCAAGGATACTGTTGATCTGATTGGCAATCAATGCCCACCAAGAGCAAAACAGACAGTTAAACAGTGTTCAGATTTATTTATGTGATGGTATGCTACTAATAGCCAACTGAACTATGGGCAAGAATCTGATGATTTGTAGAGGTAATTAAGTTTTAGGGCATGTTGACAATTTGAAGCTCGTTTCTTCTTTTTCAGTTGGTGGGTGGGTGGGTGTGAGGGATTGAAGGCGATAATAAATACAGAAGTTGCACTTAATAAGCTATATATCACCAACATATCAAATCATCCAACATGAAGACAATACTCCCATGTATAAAGCACAAACATAATAGCCTGCATATATTGCCAAACACATACCACAAAACAAGTATTCGGTGAAAAGCTGCAACGATGCCAGGCCCAAATCCAATAAGATAAGCATGTTTACTTAGGGTGCCAAAAACCCTCACCTAATTGATTGAAACAATGAAATAAGATAACATAAATCGAAATACAAGATGCTAGATAAGACATAAAGAGGGAATATTACAATGTGATGGTCCACCAAAACATGGGTACATACACTGTTTGTCAATTGAAAGAATTTTGCCCAATGAACATTAGGGTAACTTTTATGCCTTGGATTTGCAGCAAAAGAACTACAACCGGAATTATGAACAGCCAATACATGTCCATGGAAAGATATTAAATTCCCCTATGGCAATTGGAATTCAGGATCAGAAGTTCCTCAAGATTGCACTGATCCAGTGATCATGGACCCATTGCACCAAGAAATGTTAGCAAGCTCTTTGAGTGAGACATATGGCATAACCAGAACTTCATCCAATACCTTAAGATCTTCCGTCAAACACCTTGCAACATCAGTAGAGAGGTGAACACAAATATCTGGACAAATTTCAAGAAACTAATTATTCAATCTCAAGAGTGGAAGATCGTTTTGATGAGGACATTCAAAGAGCTCCCCAGTATTGCTGACAAATGAATCAACAAATCTAGGAAGTTATGCCAGTTCGATATTTGGGAGAATCTCATCAAAAGAGAATGAAAGGCTCCGAAGATGTGTTCTAGAAGTGATAACAACTTACCATAACTGACATCATTAACGTCCTCAACACTATGTAGCATGTCTTCATCATGGTGCTTTATGATGTAATACCCACAGATTCTCAATAACTGCAACATAGATCAAAATGAAACATCCTTGTTTTACGTTGCTAAGCAATAGAGGATAATTTTCTCATCCTTACAGCAAAATCAGGAGAGATTAAAAGGAGAAGAAACATGACACACCTCATACTTGTAAAAACTATCAGGCATGAACTCCAACAATACTTTCTTTGCACTTAGCTTGAAACTAGGACTGGCCTTTACATTAGCTATTGAGCATCACATGAATCCTGAACTAGACAGACACTGATTATTAATGCTTCTACTAGTAACAAGACATGGAATTTGAAGGGAAGAACTTAAATTCAAACAATTCCGCTCCTGATAAGATTTTGTACAAGTACTAATAGAGCAACAATTTGTGTGGCTATATAATTCATATCCAGTACCAGTAAATCTAGAACTCAAGTCCCTCCTAGATGCCTGATCAATTTTATATCTCTTATTTGGAACACATTCTTGTAGTTTGTATTGGTATAATGTTCCATGGATTTTTTCAGCAGGTCTGCAAAAAGCATAGTTGGATGTAAATGCCCATCCTTCCCAGCAATAAAAAGATCCCAAGGCACGGTAAATACCTCAGCAAACATGGTTGAACTGTCTGAAATAACTTCTTCACCTTGAAACCGAGAAAGCATATAAAACATTTTAACTCAATGAACAAATTAATAAGACAAAATTGTTACTATCCACTTTTGTTTGAACCTTTTGGGGGCAATTGGGCGGGGGAAGGGTTTGGCTTGAGTTGGGTTGCTTTCATTCAAGAATATTAAAGATTATCAATGAAGGCACAAAGATATAATAGTAGCATACCTTTTGTTGCACATGATATTTATGTGTTACTAAAAGCAGGTGAAATCTTCCACTTTGAAGCTCATCAAAGTTTTCGTTTCCCTTGATGCAAGAATGGAAGGGTTGAGTTCTAGGTTTTGTGTCCCTAAAATGGTAGAGAAGGTAAATTTCTAGTTTTATCTCTTTCCTCAATGGAACGCTACTAAAAATATTTCTGCACAGGAATGATTCATTGAGGTGTAATCCCGAACAATCCACTTTTTCAGGTATGCCTTCCATAACAAGCGAGAATTCATTTACCTGAGGGAGGCAAAACAATCTTAACAGAGTCTAAGCTATTAAATAAAATGCCCTGCACCTTTAATCAAATTCCACACAGCTACTTTACAAGATGAAGCAAAAAATATTAGGATTACCTCATATATGCTGTTGATATTCCAAGTTGATGGGAGGTCTGGTATAATGACATCAATGCTGCCTGTTACATTAATCAATTGCAACCTTCCAGAAGATGGGGAAATCTGAATGAACACACGAAGCATTATTAGATCTGAAGAAACTTAGTTACTTCGCACAAGTTATCTTGCGCCATAATGTGCAAAAAATAGCTTTAATGTGCTTGGTTAATCTCTTCAAGAGTAACCATTATAGTACAAACTGAAACATGACTGTCCTATTTTTTTCCTGATCAATGCAGATACCGAAAAAGAACAAGGCAAATTTCCATTAGTTCCACATTTGACCTCTTTTCCTCAATTATTACCCCCTCTAAAAAACAAAGAAAAAAAACTTTTATTAACAATCGCCTTCTGCGTTATCCCTTTTCACACTCTGCATACCTAGCAATGTCCAATTATGTATATGACATACTTTATTTGTGCCTAAGCAAACAAGTTGCACTTGATAGAGAATGTTCACAGAAGGGCACAAATCGTTGTCATAAAAGGTTAAAATGATATAAAATTAGGCAACTAACCTTCACCTGTCCAATCAAAACAACACCCATGTCTTCACTGTGCAAAATCCTCTTAGTAGACTGATTATGAGATAACCCTTCACAGGGTAAACGTCTATATTTTTCAGAGTTATACGTCAATTCAAAATCAGTCTCCCATTCCAACAGCATTTTCATCCATGTAGCCTTACAATGACCAATAAAATTAGTGATGAGTACCACTTGAGAGAATGGAATAAGCACGAAAACTTTATTATCCAATACTTGTTAAGCAGTCACAACTAACTAGAAAAAATGATAGACGCCAATGACCAAGATTACATGAAATATGCTGAGCAACGAATTAAAAAAAAAAAAAAATCGTATCCCTGATTCTTACCGATTTCATTTTTTCATAATTTGGTTCATTGCCACAGCCACATGAGTCATGCTTACAGAATTCTCTAAATACTTCATGCTGCCAAAAGAATGTCATTGTGGAAAGTGAAAACAAAATAGACATCAAAAGCATACATTTCAAGTAACTAACAACACATTAACCAAATTTACCTGAAATCAAAACACTGATGAAGGTGAATGTGAAATAGCATATGATTGAGCCAGTCACTCCTTCTGGTTGCAACTGTCCATATTAGCTTATCATAAAATTTCATGAAAAATGGAAGGAAAAAAAGGTCTACAAAGTAAAATATGAAACTTTATTCCAACGTAAACTATATTATGTACATCCAAAGCAAGTAAATTACATGTTTTGATCCCAAGATCTCCTTCTCGGATAAAATCCCAGAGAACTTTTTCCTAAAACCTGAGACGAGAAGTAATACCCTGAAATCCAAGCAGCAAACAAGTTAACAAATATTAGAATGCTAGGAGTAACTTTTTAGCAGCATAGAATACTTCCTTACCATAGTCTCATAGAAAAAGGTAATGAGTTAATAAACTTCCCCAAAAGGCTATGAGAATGAGAATATATCAAACACCTGTAGCACACAACACTCATGAGTTTTAGGAGAGCTGTGTAAAATTCACATGATATATACTCTGATAGATAGCATCACAATCCAATTCAGAAGCTCTTACACACTTTTAAATGGGGAAAAGGATTTTAGACTAACACTAGTTTTGAAACAAGCCCCAAGTACAAGTATTTCTGTCTAAGAAAATTTTGGATTCACAAAATGCACATTTCTCATAGATACCTACAAAAGAACCATCTGTTAGGAAAGTCGTACCACGAACCCCAATAGTGCATATAGTATCTACACTAGACATTAAATAGGCCTAAGAATTTACTAAAGTGAATTATTCAAAACAATGAAATCAATAAGCTATTTCACATACAATAGCACCAACTCTGAGACTATACGTCAGAGTGAGTAGCTGATCTGTTAGTAACAACAACATTTCTTGGTCCAACTCAATGACCATGCCCCGCATGTAAATGCCTGTAATAGTGCCAGTATACACCCCAAATTCACCCTTATCCTTAATTACAGTCTTATTAAGTGGAAACCATCTATTAATAAAATTGAAAAAATACAACAAAGTTTTTTTTTCTGTAGTCACATACATCAACTGAGATTCTTCTTCTCCTATAAAAACCAATTTCTTCTTCAACCCTGAAATCGAAACTATTTCACCAATCAATTTTGAAATTATAGGATGCCACGACGAAGTGTACCCATACAAGTACATAATCAATGGTTTAGTAAAACAATGACTACTATTTAGTCTGTTAGTCTGATCTTGCAAACCCATCACAGAGTCTTCTATACTACACAATTTGCATTTACAAACGCGAATTTGCACAAGAAACCCAGAAACATTTTTTGAATCACTAGAATTAACCCCAGTTACACATGGAACAACCGAAATAGCACTAACCGTTTCTAACACTTCGCAAAGGCAATAACAAGCTTTTAAACTATCATTATAATCAGTGGAAGAACCTGAAACCAGTAGAAGTTTCTAGAAGTCCCCAACTGATGATTTCCAAGAAACTGCTGCCGTATCTGAAAGGAATGAAGTTCCAAGTGAGAACGCGAATCTTCCTTCCGATGATTCGAAGGTCGAGGTTGAGAACATCGCATCATACTGTTGAAAAACCATCGAAGAATGAAAAGAAGGTAGTTTTTGGGCAATGAAGAGTCAAATTTGAAGTGGAAGGCTTGTGGAATGTTTTGTCAAGAATTGTGGGTCAGTTAAGGGTCAGTTGAGAAGAAGTTAATTAGGTAGTTGGTTGAGAAATTAGTTAGTCAGTTGAGAATTAGTTAGTGAGCTAGAGGAGTGAAGTAAAGAAGTAGTTATAAATAATTGGGAACCCCCATATGAGGGGTTTGTAATTTTTTTGAGAATAATATACAGATTTGCTACTTTCTTTCTCTATGTTTCTGTTTCTTCTTCCTTAGCTATTACATTGGTATCAGAGCACCCAAGTTCTTGGCCTGTTCATCCTCTCTAACCACCATGGCCGATGGAACTAGAGCAGCCCAGGAAGCTAAAAAAATTAAGGAGACACTGCGCTCATTAAAGAAGGGTGATGAGAGAAATGCGAAAGAAATTGGGGAAATCATGAGTTCTCTCAAAGATTTGGGGGATATCAAGGAATTGATTGCTGCTATGAGTATGAAGTGTGATCAAATGGCAGGACACATTTATGGGAAACAACATGTAGATTGAAGTGACAATTCTAGAATGCTCCGCCAAGAACAATCTGGGGTTTCTCCAGTAGGGGTTCAAGCTCGTGGGGATTTTCAAGCTCACGGGGATTTGCCATTCAGGTCAGACCACCAATCTCATCAACGATTTGCGAAGATTGAATTTCCTCGCTTCTATAGTGATAATTCAACTGGTTGGCTTTATAAATATGAAAGATTTTTTGAGTATAATGTTGTTGACAATCTTGATAAAGTGAAATTGGCGTCTTTTCATTTGGAGGACTCGTCCCTACAGTGGTTTCAATGGTTTGAAAGATGCCATCATCATATTAATTGGGATTTGTTTACACAAGGACTTCTATCAAGATTTGGCCCAAATTCATATGAAGATGCAATGGGTAACCTAACCAAGTTGAAACAGACCACTACTGTGAGAGCTTACCTAGAATAGTTTGAGATTTTGGCGAATAAAACTCAAAACCTCCCTGAAACTTTCTTTATTAGTTGTTTCATAAGTGGTCTTAAGGATGAAATTCAACCAGGGGTGTTAATGTTTAAACCAACCTCTATCACTTAGGCTATCGGGTTGGCAAAACTTCAAGAAACAAGTATTGAAACCATTACCAAGAAGACTAGGTTGGGAACCAAATCAGAAGGCATCTCTCATTTTTCTTTAAACAGGTCACAATTGGGTAATGGGGGATATGTTCGAAAAGAGTTATCTAAGGAATTAGAGGAAAAGAAGGCCAAAGGATTATGTTTTAAGTGCAATGAGAGGTATACTAAAGGGCATGTGTGTAAAAAGAAGCAATTGTATGTTATGGAAGGAGAAAACGATGGAGAGGAAGATGTTCAACTACCAGTTCTTGAAGAAGATAAAAGGGAAGATGAGGAACAAGTATCTTGGGAGGAACTACAAATTTCTTTGAATGCTTTAACTGGCATAATCTCTTACAGAACAATGAGGGTTAGAGGTAATGTTAAAAAACACCTCATCAGCATCTTGATTGATTTAGGGAGTACACACAATTTTCTAAGTCCAGCAGTGGCCAAAAGAGCTAATATCGAGACTGAAAATACTAATTCCTTACCAGTATCAATTGCTGATGGGACAAGAATGTTGAGTATAGCCATGTGCTAAAATTTTTAGTGAGAAATGCGAGGCACAGCTTTTCAGGCTGACATAAGGGTCCTGCAACTAAAGAGGTGTGATATGGTTTTGGGTATCCAATGGTTGGCCACTCTAGGTCCAGTTAAGTGGGATTTTAAGCATCTTAGCATGAAGTTTCATCTCAATGGCAGAAGACATGTTTTAAAATGGTCTAACCTTATTTAGTAGCAAGGAAAGAGTGATGAATTGAAGGTTTTGAGCCTAGAAAAGAAGCAGAAGTTGCTGCACAAACAGCCAGAAAGAGCCATAGCCCAACTCTATTTGTTACAGGCTGATTATCATGTGAGGGAATAGGAGACTTCACCATATTTGAAGGCTTTGCTTTCTGACTTTGCAGGTGTATTTCAAGAACCAAAGGACTTACCACCTCCTAGATCTCATGACCATTGCATCACTCTCAAACCAGGGACTGAACCTACAAATGTGAGACCTTACAGTTATCCTTACTTTCAAAAAACTGAGATTGAGAAACAAGTAAAAGACATGCTTACCTCTGGTATAATAAGGCCTAGTGTTAGTCCATATTCTTTACCAGTACTATTGGTTAAGAAAAAAAATGGCACTTGGAGAATGTGTGTGGATTATAGAGCTCTTAATAATGCCACTGCCAAAGATAAGTTTCCTATCCCAATAATTGATGAACTTCTGGATGAATTATGTGGGGCACAATATTTTTCTAAATTGGATCTCAGGTCGGGCTATCACCAAATCAGGGTTCATTCCTTTGACATTGACAAAACAGCTTTTAGAACCCATGATGGGCACTATGAATTTTTAGTGATGCCCTTTGGACTCACTAATGCCCCTTCTACATTTCAGAGTCTTGTGAATAAAGTCTTTAGACTTTTCTTAAGGAAATTTATTTTGGTATTTTTTTATGATATCCTGGTCTATAGTGGGTCTTGGGGAGACCATATGCAGCATTTGCAGCTTACTTTACAGTTGTTTAAGCAACATCATTTGTTTGCAAAAATGACCAAATGTGTTTTTGGAAAGGCTGAGGTGGAGTACTTGGGACATTTAGTTTTAACTAAGGGTGTTTCTGCAGAACCAACAAAGTTACAAGCTATAAAATCTTGGCCAATCACTTTTACTATCAAGGAATTGAGGGGTTTTTTGGGTCTCACTGGTTATTATAGAAGATTTATCTAGCATTATGGTCGAATTTGCTCTCCACTTTACTGTTTGCTCAGAAAAGATTCCTTT